ACACACATAAAATAAATGCAGTAATAAAATTACCTTGCAAATAATCTGCCAGATCTCCACCATTGCAATACTGATAAATAGAAGAAAAAGTAATTAACATAAAAAGATACTGCTATTGTGGTTAAAATAAAGTATTTTATTTTCTGACAAGGTAGTTTACTTCTTTAATCCCAGCACTTGGAAGGCAGAGGTAGGCAGATCTCTGAGATCCTGACAAGGTAGAGTACTTCTTTAATCCCAGCACTTGGAAGGCAGAGGTAGGCAGATCTCTGAGCTCAAAGACAGCCTGGTCTATAAGGCAAGTTCAATGTCAGCTAAGATACACACACAATGAGACCTCTCTCAAAGAAAAACAACAGCAACAAAAGGGGGATATTTGAAGTGACACAGGGAAGGGTGCCAAGTGTGACCTGTGTTGAGTCCCTCATGATAGATGGAGAATGAGGAGGGCCAATGCTTGAAAGTCTTCCTGTGATCTCCAAGCCAGTGCCCACCCTCTCCCCTACAGATACACATACAATAAATAAATAAATAAATAAATAAATAAATAAATAAAATACAATTGTCTTCCTTTTGTCTCCAAGCCAGTACCCACCCTCTCCCCTACAGATACACATAAAATAAATAAATAAAATGAAAATTTTTTTTTGAGAAAGGGACTCTACTATGTAGCTCTGGCTATTCTAGAACTCTTGCCTTATAGACCAGGCTGGTCTCAAACTCACAGAGATCTACCTATCTCTCTCTGCCTCTAATGGAATTATGCGCATTCAACACCATGCCCAGCCAGTAAAATGTAATTTAACTTTAAAAAAGAAAAAGTAATTAAAATAAGGACATTGATTCCAAATGAATTCAATCATTCTGTTAATTTTAGTTTTAAAATCATCTGTAAAATAAAATCTAATTTTAAAGTATTTTAATTATTTAATTAAAACATTTAAATTTAACATTCTTTATGAAGCAGAATCTAAATCATCCAATCAACTTTATTAATACTTACTTGTCAATACTGGTAGAATACCTACCTCCATCACCAGAAAGACAGAGTTGGGTAATTCCTAGAAAAGAAACATGAATATAAATGATGAGTTAATAAAAAATACACTTACTTATTCATTATTGAACTAATAAAATAAACCCACAAAATTCAACAGAAAGTGAAATTAAAATTCTCAGGCAAGAGGAGTCTTTTTTTTTTTTCAATTTCATTGCACTGCTGGGGATGGAACCCAGAGTTTGAGCCACTCTAGGAAAGCACTTCCATGCTATACCTCCAGCTCTAAACTTCTCAATACAATGGTTTTTTTGTTTGTTTGGTTGGTTTGGTTTGGTTTTTCGAGACAGGGTTTCTCTGTGTAGCCTTGGCTGTCCTGGAACTTGCTCTGTAGACCAGGCTGGCCTCGAACTCAGAGACCTGCCTGCCTCTGCCTCCCACATGTTGGGATTAAAGGCATGTGCCACCAACGCCTGGCTTCAACACAATGTTTTAAGCATCTGTTCCTCACAGCCAAATTAAATTTTGATGACACAAAGGTAGGTATCAAGAAGTTAAATTCTGTTTAGAGAGTACTAAAAGATAAATCAGTTTGGGTTATGGATAATGAAAAACAGTAAAATAAAAACATGCTGACCAGGCACAGTGGCATATGAAAAGGAAGAGCATCACAAACTCAAGGCTTCATCAACATAGCAAGACCCTGTCTCTAACCTCCATCTCCAACAAAACCCACCATTATATATTCACCATTTGTGAGAAGAAAGGCTTCATTTGGCCCTCAGGGAAGTGCTTCCACTCAGAAAAGTTTGAGTTGGACAGCAAATGGCTTATAGTCTTTCCTATTAACACTAGCAAACTGATAGCTGAAACACATTAACTAGGACAAGTAGTTTTGGGTTTTTTGTTTATTTATGACAATCATATCAGAAAATTGTTGGCAAAATGGAGATGTTTTATTGTATCACAAAAGATATGTTTAAAGAGTTAAGTAAATTAATTTGAATATTTTTACAATATATCACACTTTTGTAGCTTCAAGTCTGTTGGATTAGTCATTCAGAGACTAAATAGATGACAATTTTGCATTCTTTTAAAATGTAATGCTAAATCATTTTGAACTAGCCCTACATAAGCCAGTGCTGAAATAACTCAAAATGCAATACTTCACAGGCAGCAAGTAACTTCAACAAGAACCCAAATACAAAGACAAGGTGGTCCATGGGAAACAAAAGAGGGCATCACAGAAAAGGAGTAACCAATTCTAGTCAGAAAATGACTTTCCACCATCCACACTATGTCTACAACAAAGAATTAGTGAAGTTAACAATAAGAATCTGAAAAACTTACAGCAATTTTACAAAATAATTTTGACTGCTGAACTTAATAATATCAACTTTGACCTGGAGGTATTTATTGCTCACAAAATACTTGCCTAGTATGCATACTAGGCCCATGTTCAGGTTCCAGCAACACAGAATAAAATAAGTCCCTTCCTCAATTTGGATGTCCGTTTATAGGCCCCCTTTCATTCACCCTTATCAGAAATAAAAGCTGGTGCTTCAGGTCAGGAAGCCAAGCAATCCCTTCCTAGATGTAACCTTTAACCCCAGCACTGAGTATCACAAAGGGCTGCCACAGAGCTGTTCTGCCACCTCACCAAGGGGCTGCCCATTGCAACACTAGACCTGAATGTGGAATGATATCTACAGGAAAGTCAGTGACTTAGGATGATTTGCTTCTTTATTTCTCAAGAGAATCAGATAAAAAGAATGGAGTCAGGTGGGATAGCACACGCCTTCTATCCCAGCCCTAGGGAGTCAGAGGCAGGTGGATCTCTGAGAGTTCAAGGCCAGCCTGTTCTACAGAGTGAGTTCTAGGACAGCCAGGGCTGTTACACAGAGAAACCCTGTCTTGAAAGAAAAAAAATAAAAAGAGTGCTTCCTTCCCTTCCTGAAGACACAAGTTTGTTCCTATTACTCATGCCAGGCAGGTCACAATCACCTGTGACTCCAGCTCCAGGGGATCCAACAACTTGTTCTGGCCTCCTAAGGCACCTGCATGCACACATGTCTACACACACACACAAGTAATGACAATAAAATTTTAAAAAGACTTCTAACAAACAACAAAAAGACAACCCAGGGGATAAACAAGAAACTTCCATGGGAATTCCAAAAAGATATTTAAATAGTTAATAAACACAAATCACATTCAAGCCAGAGACATTAGGAAAATACTAATTAAAATCATAATTAGAAGTTAGGCAAAGTTGTGCACCCCTGTAATTCTAGTACTTGGAAGGCAGAGGCAGAAAATAAGTTCAAGGTCATCCTGAACTACATATAGTGAATCTGAGACCATTCTGGACTATTTAAGCCATTGTCACAAAAAGCAAAACAAAACAAAAAATCAATTAAAAAATTCTAACTGAATTCAATCACTAGAATAGATAAAATTGCCAAATGTTAGCAAGGTGGAGCAGGCAGAACCTTCAAACACTGTTAGCAGCAGTGTGAAGCAATTCACTGGCAGTGTCTACTAGGGGATCTGTACTAACCCTACCAATGAGACATTCTAGAGTATGCCTTTGCAAGACCTATTTCAATGTGAAGGAGACGCCGTCTCTACTTCTTCCAGCCTCTAAAGGAAGTGGGTTTTGGTGGAGAAAATGTGAAAGTAATATATAATTAATGAGGAACTCCTGATTTGGAAAGATAGCTTTAATAATGAGCCAACAGAAGAAAGGGGGAGGAGGAAGAAAGAAGGAAGGAGAAAAAAGAAAGGAAGAGGAGGAGGAGGAAGAAAGCTAGCCTAGAGATGTAGTTCTTCCTAGTATAAGCCAGGCCTCTTGGCTGGATCTCCAGGACCCTGGGTGGGGGGAGCAACATTTTCCAACAATGTTGGGTGTATGTATACAAACATACCTACACTAAAATAGGAGAAAGCTGGGGCTGAAGAGACAGCTCATTGATTAACATCACTTGTTGCTCTTGCAGAGGACCTGGGTTTGGTTCCCAGCTCCCACATAAAGATTTTAAAAACCTGTAGCTTCAGTTCCAGGAGATCCAACACCCTCTTCTGACCTCCACCACCACTAGGCACACACGTGGTGCATATATGTGCAATAAAAGCCAACGAACACATAAAGTAAAATAAATATAAAAAAGAGGAAGTTACATATAAGATGCACTAGAGGTTTCCTCTAAAATTAAATGAGAACAAAGTATTTCATTTTTGCTTTATATATTGTTAGGACGTTTTGTTTTTACACCTTAAGGGTCCATTACTTAATTTTTTAAAAGTGAGTTCTTTACAAGTTGAACAGCAGGACCAAGTGGTTCTCTGTAGCAGAATTTACATGACCTGAAGCAGAAATGGAAAACAACAGTAGGACAAAAAAGCAACACAAACCCATTTACTAACAAAGAAAGATTAAGAGAAAATGTTATAGTTCCTAAAACCCAATCTTCCAGTTCTTCTGTTACATTTGCTTGTCTTGAGACAGGGTCTCTCTACATAGCCCTGTCTGTCCTGGATCTGGCTATGTAGACCACGCTGGTCTTAAACTCCTAGAGATCCACCTGCCTCTGTGCTTCCAGTGTTGGGATTAAAGATGCATACCACCACATCTGCACATCTGGTTCTACTTATTCTTTCATCATCTTTCTTCCTTTCTTCCTTCCCTTTTGGTTTTTTTCAAGACAGGGTTTCCTCTATGTAGCTCTGCCTGTCCTGGAACTTACTCTGTAGGGCCAGGCTGGCTTCAGACTCACAGAGCTCTGCCTGCCTCTGCCTTCCTGAGTGCTGGGATTCAAGGCGTGCACCACCACTGCCCATCCAGGCTCTACTTAATTTCTTAATTAATTTCCAATCTTCAGACAAATTCTATGAGCTTTCTCACAGGAAAGAAGAAACGTAATGCCATTCCTATAATCCTAAGTAACCTATATGGTACAATCATACCCATTATAGTGACATGGTTAGTAGTGTTAATTTAACATGGACAAGATCCTAAACAAGTTTTCTGTAAAAACAACACTCTAACTACATTTCCTTACATTTAGGGCCCATCATCTTTGGTCATTTCTGGCTGCTATATCAATCAATTATAGTCTGGGTATCTTAGTAACAGAAATTTACTTCGTGTTATAAGTATTTTTTTCAAATTATGAGTGCCAACCACCTTCTTTTGCATTTAACTGATATATTTTATACACATTAACATTAAATAGTCTTATTTAACCCACAGTTCAATTCATTATGACAAATGTGTGCCTTTCAGATCAAGACATGTAATATTCCCATCTTATTAAGACCATTCTAATTGGTCTTAATAGTAAAAAACATGGAGTCAAATAGTAGGGGACAAAAGCAGAAAGATCAGAAAAGCAAAGCAGCCAGTCACTAGTTCTTACCTCTACCTCAGACCGAAGGAGCGATCCTGTCCTCAGACTGAATCTTCAGGCTGCTTCAGACTAACTGCTGCTCAGACTAACTGAGCTCCTGTCTTCTCCTGCCTTATATTCCTCTCTCAGTCCAGCCATATCCCTGTCTGTCTCCACCTCCTTAAACCTGGGATTAAAGCATTTCACTCCAAGTGCTGGGATCACCTTTATGTGAGCTCTGTTTCTCTTTTATACTAGATCAATTTCATGTAGCCTAGGGTGGTCTTGAATTGACAGTGATCCATCTGTCTCTGTCTTTCCATGCTAGCATTAAAGGTATGCAGCACCACTGCCTGGCCTCTATGGCTAACTAGTGTGGCTGCTGAGATTAAAGGTGTGTGCCATGACTGTCTGGCCCCTATGGCTAACTAGTGTGGCTAGCTTTGCACTCTGATCTTCAGTCAAGTTTTATTTGTTAGATAATAAGCAAAATATCACCAATGTGGTAAAATATTATTTTCAGGTATATGATTTTTGTTTATACTGCTTTTGTTTAACGCTGTGAAGTTGTGTTACTGTGCCTATCTAAAACACCTAGTGGTCCTAATAAAGAGCTGAATGGCCAATATTGAGGTAGGAGCAAGAATAGGAGAGGCTGACAGGCAGAGTATAAATA